ACCTAAGGTTGGAGGCCATCGCTAGTAGGCGGTGGACCATAGACGCAAAGTGACAGCAAATAGTAGGTTAAAGGCCAGCGGTTTTGGTTGGAGGTCAACGCGAGGCTGTTGGGGCCAAGACCTAAGGTTGGAGGCCATCGCTAGTAGGCGGTGGACCATAGATACACAGTGACAGCGAAAGCAAAGTTGGAGGTCATCGCTAGTAGGTTGGAGGCCAGGGTACCAAGTTGGGGGCCAGCGCTACCAGGTTACAAAGCACAAGAAAAACCACAAGACAGCCAAAGTTGGAGGTCCTTGCTAGTGGGTAGAGGCCAGGGTGCCAAGTTGGAGGCCAGTGCTACAAGGTTACAAGAAGCACAAAGTACAAGAAGCACAAGACAGCAAAACAGCGAGTTGGGGGTCAATCTAGTGGGTAGAGGCCAAGGTTCAAGTTAAAGAACCCCTTACAAAGTTTGGAGGCCTACCTGTAAACCTGAAGAGTAGCCTTAGAGGAAAACAGAAGGAAAGGCACCGACACACAAGTGTGTCGAGTACCATTTCCTCCTGTTTTCCTAAATAGTGGAACAGGTACATAGTTCTGGCGTCCCAGAACTATATCACTGTGCGACAGATGCGTCTTTGTTGGCTGGAGACATCTGAAGCACACTCCAGCCCGTTCCAAACCTTAAGGTTCCCTTTGATTCCAAGGGTTACACACACACACGCCTCCCCGAAGGGAGGCATGTGTGACCTCCATCCTGCCCGGAAAGGAGGTAGGCACATGTGCACGCAAAAGAAACAGATGAAAATGAAAAGGACAAGACAGACAGAGGTGTGTGTGGTTGCCGATGAAAAGGAACCAAGTGAAGAGGGACAACCGATGAGCCAAACCTCATTGTAACGAACCTGGGCCACCTGAACCTCGCTGTAAGTAGAGTACGCGTGCGTGTATGTGTACAAACTAAGGTCCGGACGATAGTGCGCGCAAGAGAAAGAAAGGATGAGGATGAAGAGACATGAAGACAGAAGGACATGAAAGGAAAGAAGGAAAAAAGTCTGTGGGGGCGGATGAAAGGGGAACCAAATGAAAGGGGGCAAACCGATGACAGTCCAAACCTCACTGAGAAACCTGTTGCAAAAGCCTAGTTTGCTTGTAAATACGCCACGGGCGAGGAAAGGGGAGGAGGGGAGGAAAAGAGAAGGAGGGAGAGAAGGAAGCAAAGGTGTTCCCAGCTACGGGGCAAGCGTCCAAGGACCAAAAAGGAAGGGCTCCCAGCTATGACGAAAGCATCCAGGGACGCCCAAGGAAGAGGGTGAAGAGAGGAAAAAGAGAAGGAAAGAAAGAGAGAGGGAGAGAAAGGGAGAGGAGAGAAAGGAATGTGTTCCCAGCTACGAACAATCGTCCAGGGACACACCAAAGAAGGAAAGGGGAGATCCTGAGTATTACATTCAGGAAAACACCAGAAAGCAAAGAGAGAAAGGGGGAGGGCAGGGGGAGAAGGGGGCTAAGTTCTCCACAGGTTCCAATGAACCTTAAACTTGCTTCGACCGCTGCGGTCACCTTGTGCCCTGCCGAGATGGCTAGCTGCTTTGACCGCTGCGGTCACGTAAAGGCATGAGCCAACTTGGAATTCCAAAGATGAGACAAAAATCATCGGACGTTCGGCCTAGGCCACCTGCTGTCCGCTCCGGACACTTACATCTCCAAAGCAAGGGAGATAACGACAAACCCCCGTTCAACGGGTCCACGGGAGGCACTCTGCGGTCTCATCCCGGACTCTCACTGGGAGAGACACACTTATGGATATGCGTACTGACTTGACAGCGATGCCACACGCCGGCCTAGGTTAGTTAAAAGGCCTGAGATACCAGGAAATAGTAGGTTTAAGGCCAACGGTTTGCAACGCGAGGGAGGTTAAAGGCCAGCGGTTTTGGTTGGAGGTCAACGCGAGGCTGTTGGGGCCAAGACCTAAGGTTGGAGGCCATCGCTAGTAGGCGGTGGACCATAGACACACAGTGACAGCGAAAGCAAAGTTGGAGGTCGTCGCTAGTAGGTTGGAGGCCAGGGTACCAAGTTGGGGGCCAGCGCTACCAGGTTACAAAGCACAAGAAAAGCCACAAGACAGCCAAAGTTGGAGGTTCTTGCTAGTGGGTAGAGGCCAGGGTACCAAGTTGGAGGCCAGTGCTACAAGGTTACAAGAAGCACAAAAGTACAAGAAGCACAAGACAGCAAAACAGCGAGTTAGGAGGCCTACCTGTAAACCTGAAGAGTAGCCTTAGAGGAAAACAGAAGGAAAGGCGCCGACGCACAAGTGTGTCGAGTACCATTTCCTCCTGTTTTCCTAAAAAGTGGAACAGGTACATAGTTCTGGCGTCCCAGAACTATATCACTGTGCGACAGATGCGTCTTCGTTGGCTGGAGACATCTGAAGCACACTCCAGCCCCCTGTCCCAAACCTTAAGGTTCCCTTTGATTCCAAGGGTTACACACACACACACACACTCACGCACTCTCCCAGTCTCACTGTCACTCACTCTCCCACTCTCACTCTCACTCACTCTCACACTCTCACTCTCTGTCACACTCACACTCACTCTCACTCCCGCCCGCGCTCGCTCACACCCTCCTTCACTCTCATTCACACTCACTCTCACCCACTCTCACTCACACTCACACTCCCTCACACTCGTTCTCCCACTCTCGCTCTCCCTCACACTCACACTCTCACTCACACTCGCACTCTCACTCACACTCACTCTCACCCACACTCACTCTCACTCACGCTCGCGCTCACACTCACACTCACTCACTCTGCCGCTCTCACTCACACTCACACTCCGTCACACTCTCACTCACTCACTCACTCACTCACGCACGCACGCACGCTCGCATGCTCGCTCGCTCGCTCGGTCCCTCACTCACTCACTCACTCACTCACTCACTCACCCACCCACTCACTCACTCACTCACTCACTCACTCCCACCGCCACCGTCACCACGATCCCCACCTTGATCACCACCATCACCTCTCTGGACCCCAATGCGTCTAGATCTCTAGACTTTCTGCTTTTAGACCTCAAGTCTCTTGCCCGGATAATTTTGGAGAGTAGAGTAGGGCTGGGATTATTGGAGAGTCCACGCACGAGGCGCCTGGCAAACATGGTCTGATTGGCAATCTGGATCGAGCGGATGGCAAGATGGATGGCAAGGTGTGGAAGCTATCCTTTCAACAGGATTATAATGGTTTCAATCAAATTAGACTTATTTCCGAGAGGACAAGCAACAACCAGGCATCAAACACCAAACCCTAAGCGCGGAACACGAAGCGCACCGCCATCGCCAACAATAACAGCAAAAGTGACAACGACAGCAACAACAGCAACAACAACAGCAAGGTACCAACAAAAACTGCAGCGTCGTTACAGCATATCAACATATCTTCTTTCTTTGTCTCTACAAGGGCTGGAAACAAAACTGCAGCCCCGGTGTTGTTTTTTGCCTCCCCGAAAACAACCAGCCAACAACAAGTAGTAGTAGTAGTAGTAGTCGTAGTGGTAGTGGTAGTGGTAGTAATAAGCCCCGGTGTGGAACTTCTACTTAGAACCTATACCACAACCCAGAAACAAAAGCTGCAGCCCGTTGTTGTTTTTTAAATTCCCCCCTCGAAAGGTGTTGTTGTTTCTACCCCCTCCTCGAAACAAAGACTGCAGCCCCGTTGTTGTTTTTTGGACCAGACTTCAGCGAAACAAGTCCAACAAGTCCACCGACTTACGAAACCAACAATCGCTCAAACCCTCAATCCCCTTGAAGTTCCACAGTTGCAACGTGTGACAATTATGTTGGGCAGCTTTTTTTCTACAGCCAACAACAACAACTGAAACAGCAGCTACGCCAACTGCGACCACACAACGGCAACAGGCTGCTGCACTGTAGCTTGCAGCGCGACGCTTGAAAACATTCGGGGAAGTGTTCGGCGGACCATATTTCCTGGTGGTTATGACTAGCCTTGACTGAACATTTCTTGAACAACATCGAGAAATTTGCGCCCAGAGACATGGCAGGATATGACCCGTGGCAACCTTCGAGCGCTCGAGGCGGGCTGTTTGATACGGAGGTATTGGTGCGCTTAAGGATGTAAATGTCGAGGAAGTTCAACGTGGCAGTGATCGTGAATCGCGATCAGATATTTTCTCAGTTTTGCCTTGATTGAATGTTTTTCGAACATCTAGAAACGCAGGTTTTGGCAGCTATGGCCCTCGTCGTAGCGGGCCTTACTGAAGCGGGTGCGTTGGCGGAAACTCTTTAGAGAGGCTGGCAAAGTGGAGAGAAGGAGCAGTTGTGCCTGCTTGAGATTTCCATTTCACTGCATCAGACCCATGTTTACTTGGTCTGTATGGACCATAGGCCCCAGTACAGGCGCAGCACAGGGCGCGGCAGGTTAGCAGTCTCTTCGCAGCAACGCATGATCGGCTAGGTAAGGTGCTGGAGGCCGTGTTTGACTTGAAGATCGAAAAGGGAGAAAGCACGGCTGTGTACGCAGGCAAAGCTCCAGCCGCATCTGCGGCTGCCGAAGCTGAAGGGGTTGTACTTCCAGATGTTGCCCGAGGATATCTTCTGCGTCGCTTCGCCAAGTTGAACGTTGAGATAAAGGCCGTCGTCATGGCCGCAGCGCGACAGTCTCATATGTGGAACGTGACGTGGCGCCAGCGCTCAGGACAACATACCCAAAGAACCTGTTCCAGGCGGCCAACCAGACAGGGACCTACCATGTGGAGGACGAGGGCTACATCAACGATGAAGAGAGCCAGGCCGACGAGAATGCCTTTGAGGTTTTTGTGCCAGAGGCTGGATATGGACCAGATGATGAATTTGAAGAACAAGATGCAGTGGACGCTCTCCTCACCTGGAAACAAACGAGGGCTGGCGTCGCCCAAACGAAGCTGGCGAGAGGTTTTGGTGGGCGCAGCGGCTCAGGCTCAGGCAGAGACTTCAAGAAGCTGGAGAGCCGTGTTGCAAGCAAGTTAGCCATTTCAGTCGCAATTGCCCCCGGCAAGGGAAGGGGGGCAGCAAGGAAAGGATAGCTCAACAACACCGAGTACCAAAGTGAATCTGGTTTTGATGATTTGGTCCAACGACCACGTCGACGAGGAGATGCTCCTGAGCATACATGGAGTGATGGAAACGTCGCGTCGCATACCTGGGGACCGCCTGTCAGGACAAGTGATGATGGCCATGGTTGCTGGTTGGGAGTATGTGGAGGGACTGCTGGCATGTGCAAGGCAGGCAGGCGATCAGAGCCTTCCTCCAGCAGCGTCAGGCTGCCCGTGGCTTTGAGGACCTATGTGAGGCAGGGCAACGAGCGCCATCAGTCCTCTGGAAACACCGAGGAGAAGCTCATCGACGCCTGGGCTATGAGTGGTCAGGGCAAACCATCTTCTACTTGATGAAGAGCTGGCTGCTTTGTTGACAAGGCCCAGGAGGAAGCCCTGCGGACACCGGAGCACTTGTCTCAATGGTGGCGCTGGTCGATGAGGCTATAGAGTGGTGGACACGGGCTGTGGTCGAGGCTTTGCCGAAAACATGAAGAGCTACTTGCCCAGTACGACATGAAGGTCAAGGGCATGGAACATCGTATGGCAATGGTGCGGCAGACGCGCGGTGCAGACCATACCGCCTGATAGAAGCCGCTAGAGAATGTTTGAGAACCTTGTGAATAGGTTTGGAACTGCTTTAAACCAGTTTAAAGCAATTTGAATACCCCATCTTTCTCGCAGGCATCCGGCCACGGCTGAGGATGCGCGTGGTGAAAGGTTCAGTGCGCCTGTTGATCTCCAAATGGTTCCTGAAGGTGCTGGGAGCTGTCGTGGACCTCCAGAAGGGCGAGATGATGCTGAATGGACATGAAGAGGCCGCCAAGAGGGAGAGATCAAGAAGTTGAAGTTCTCCAGTTGGTCACCAATGACAGCAGACCTACCGGGGGAAGAGACTGAGGAGGTGACAGGCGCCAACAACACCGAGGACAGCTTCATGAACCTGATTCCGGAGGGAGAGACGGCTGCGGATGAGCACCCGAGGAAGAGGAAGAGGTATCAAGAAGAGTGTGTCTAGGTGGCGAGGACTGGGCATTGTAGCAGGTGAAGCTGGAGGCAATTACTGGGTTTTGTGAGATTGAGGACAGCGTCAGGGCGAGAGGCAGACCGATTTTTGGTCAGAGACATTCGGGCTGCTGCAGCGCAGCTGTTTCCAGAGGTTGGCAGTTCAGAGAACGCCCAGAAACAATTTCATTGACATCGCAAAGGATGAGATCCAAATGTGCCAGTTGGGCAGCAGCAGCCAGAACCGGCAGAGCGGCCAGACCAGAATGAGCAGGCCGAACAACCGCCCACCCAGGTATCCAGACAACCGGACCAGCCCATGACAATTTCTTGGTCATTGAGCGATCAATTAAGAACTGTCGCCAGCCGAACGGGCGAGGTGGCAAGAGTCAGGAGAAAGAGCAGACAGGCTGGACGGACGTCGCCGACCAATGGGCCCAGAACCAGAGCCAAAGAGACTCCGGCAAGAGCAAGTGATCGGAGGACAGACCTTTCCCCAATCCGCCTCCTCAGGACAGCAGAAACAGTCCCAATACCAATTTCTAGCCGGAGTGGATCGGGAACGTCTTCATCCAGTTCATCATCTTCTACAACAGTTTGTTCATCAACGACAGAACCGTTAGGGATGAACCATTAGGGATTCAGCGAGTTGCAATGTCTCTTTGAACGAAAAGGATGCTGAAGGAGGAATCTGGGTTTTAGCTGTTGATGCAAACATTGAGCAGGAGAATGCAGTGTTACTAGCTGGAGGACAAGCAGGCGCTGAAACCCTGCACGCTGGAGGAGTCTTGCCAGATTAGACAACAATGTCCCGAGAGGATTGTGCCAAGTCGGTTGGTCCTGACTCCACAAGTGGATGACGCTGAAGAAGAATTCGTGAAAGCAAGATGGACTGCGGGGTGACAAGGGTCCGGATTTGTTTGCATTGGTGAGAGGAGGAAAGACGCAACCCCCAACAAATGGACGTTTTGCAGCGTTACAGACAATTGCCAGCAGTCATTTTGTTCTTCAGCTAGGTGACGTCACTGGCGCCTTTCTAGAGACAAAAGAGCTGAAGGGGGATCAACGACTGAGGATGTCTTGCCCAAAGAACTATCCTCTACCTGATCATGAACCAGATCAACTATTTGAGGTGGTCCGACCGTTGCACGGTTTGAACGACAGCCCACAGAAGTGGTATAGTACTTGCGATGATGCATTGAGGAATCTTTCGTGGACACCGTCAAAGCTGGGCCCATGTGTGTACATGTTGTGGGATTCCGGTCTTGGCGGGAAAAGCCAAGTTAGTTGGAATCATGGGGGTATACGTCGATGACGTCCTACTTGGTGGTCGTGGGGCACTGTTCGAAAAGCCAATTGCCACTCTCAAGGCAACATTTCCTATCGCAAATGGGCAAGGCGCAAAGGAACTTTCTGCGGATCACAACTTCGTCAGAACCAGGAGACCATCGAGGCTGAAGTGAGTCAGGAAGAGTTTGCCGAGAACAAGGGAAAACCGACGCTTCGAACAAGAGAAGCACCGCGCCTGACAATCAATGCCGAGGAGACATCATCTCTGAAGTCGGTGTTAGGAGCAGGTCTATGGCTAGCCAAAGAAACAAGACCCGACCTAGCAGTACAGGTGAGCCAAGGACAACAAATGTTGCCATCCCCGACATTGGGGGAAGCAGAAGCAATTGCGAACATCACACGTCGTGCAAAGCAACGCAAAACTTTGAGCTGGAAAATCTTATCAATTCCACTACAAGACATCAAGTTGCGCCTTCGCACAGACGCTGCTTTTAAAGCAAAAGCAAAGAAACAAGGTGCGCAAGCTGGACACATGGTGGGAATCACAAGAAAAGAGCTGAAAGACGGCAAGCCAGCGCCATGAAGCCCAGCAGTGTGGAAGTCATATCGATTGAAGAGACGCAGGGGAAACGCAAGCTTTGGCAGACGGACTAGGACACACAGTGGTTAGCGTGTCACTTGGCGGAGGTGAAGTATGCACAGTTCACTTTAACCGACCGATCATAAGATTTCCAGGAGTTTGAAATTCAGGCCATAACAGATTGCAAGAGTATATATGACCACTATGCCTCACCTGGAAGTGTGGGAGACAAAAGGGTAGCTAGCCATTGACCTAGTCATTGTCAAAGAACCATTGAAACGACTCTAGGGATCAATACGGTGGGAGCCCACATGGTTAGAATTGGCAGATGCACTACAAAGGAAAATGCGGATGCCATGGACATTTTACCGGGAGCCATGAAATCAATTGTATATCGCCTGAACAATGAAAGCGTCATGCTTCAAAGTGCTGCTGAGCAGAGGGCGTTGAGAGTGAGAGGAAAGAAGACATCGATCGAAGATCTCGGCTCAGAGGTGTACTGGATTTGAGACCTCACTCTAACCAATTACATGGTGAAAGTGTCGGCCAAGGGCCTTGGAGAAGAGGAAGTCACCGCGCTCTTCGAGACAATGATGCCAAGGGCGAAAAGCGGACGTGAACACATGCTTGATGCAGAGCCAGTCGATGTGCAAGATCCAGATCCCGTCGAGCATGGTGAATTCAAGATCTTCAGGGGTGAAAGCATGGCAACGTTCACCTTCACCAACCCACTCAGATGGTGGCATTCCAGACTGGGGCGGCCTTCTTGGACATCGTGGAGGACACGTTCCAGGAGGTCACTGAGAAGGATCGAGCTGCGATCCAAAAGAATGAGGTGCTGAGAGAGTACCGGTGAATGGTCTGAGCGTTCAGTTTCGTTCTTCATGAGGGAGCTCGTTCACATTACTTCGACCAAGGGGGGTTCAAGGACAGTCATGAGCCAAAGGCGCCAGTGACTACGACTGAGGCATTGGCGCCGCAACATGAAGCATTCACGGCTGCGATCGCAGATTTGCGCCATGAAGGGTGACGCAAATTATTTGAATATCCAGCCTGGAGGAACAAATTCTTGCAGGTCATGTGCAAAGAATCCGGAGTGCAACCTGAACTTGTCATGGGGCTCAGTGGCTTGACCGAGCGTTTCCATGTGGCCACGGACGATGAAGGCTGGACGGTGCACGTGGGGCCTGCGAATGCAAGTGAACCGCAGGCAAAACCGAAGCCAAGGGTCCGAAAGGGTTTGCCCAATCTCCATGGTTTTTGATGATTCAGGCCGGTCTAACGCAGAAGAGACTTTGAGGAATGAGATTTCCACTTCACTGCGTCAGACCCATGTTTACTTGGTGTGTATGGGCCACAGGCTTGAGTACATGGCGCGGGGTGCCGTTAATCCTGCGACTCGTGTCTGAGTCGAAAGGGGAGCGCGGCGCGCTGTGGGAGGCCGCAGGCGGCAGGTGAGCGCAGGGTCGCCAGTCCCTTTGAACTGCTTGAAAAGTATAGGCAAGCTTACGTCTTGGCGGTATTGTTCGAGTGTGCTTTAGAAAATTGCGACATTTTGACGCAACACAGCATAGCTGTTTCTTTGGCTTCCAAGCTTGACAGCGCCAAGCCTCTGTTCGGGGCCGGGGTCTTAGTGAAAAGACAGTCGTTGCTTTCGCAGGTCCAAAGTTAAGACCCTCTTCGCGTCCGGAGTTTCCTACAGGTGTCGGTATTTTTTGCGCTTATTTTTGTGCCTTTGTGTGAAGATCTGTACAAACGATTTTGCTTTCAGAGGTTATGCTTGCAACGTGTGCGCACGCTGCGCGGGGCCGTCTTTACCAACAGGTGGGGCGGGAATGGCGGAGATGTGTAATGTATCATGTGAGATTGTGTCCTACGCAGACGGCGTTCTAGTCAAAAGGATTGGCGTTCTGTACAGGGCGTGCTAGCTCGCTTCTCTGGCGGCATCCGGATCCTGGAGGAAGCGCACAAGGCAAGCTCAAGCGCTCAATCGAAACTGACTGTGGCTACTTCTGTGGGTAGCCACTGTGTGGCCACTGTGTGTACAAGACCTTGTGCGAGGGACATGCAGATTCTGATACCAAATGCGGGTTCATCCTGATCGGGCGCCGATCCATGCACCAGCAACAGCTACTTCCTTGGGCTTTCAGTTCGTTGCTGCTATGCTAGTCAGCCAATTAGTTCTAGAAAACCACCAGCCCACCTGATTGAACAGTTCGTGGATGTGAATACGTGAGCTGAGCTTTAGTGCAAAGAGGTGGAGATGCGAGATATTTCCTTGAGAGCACAGACCTAAAGATATAACAGGAGAGGCTTGGAATAAGAACAGGCAGGCTCCTTTGGGAGAAGACAAAATTTTTTATACCATTTCCTTAGCTACTTGCTTGCTTATCCCCTTGTCCTGCGGTCAGAGCGGATGCCGTGCGGACGTCTGACCAAAAGCCTGATTTCCAAATCCGCCTGTCAAAGGTTTAATGGG